AAATTATACTTAAACCCCCTAAAATTTATAAGTATATAATACTTAGACCCCTTAAGTTTAAAATATTATACTTAGACCAAAAATACTCCAATCAAAGATAAAAATATCAAATATTTTAAATTTTACAACAAAAATTCATGTTCTATTGTATCATTTATTGAAATAAAATCAAAAATAAAAATTCAATTTTTTTTCTTAAAAAATCATAATTAACTTATAATTATATTGTCTATTATAATTTAATTTGGTCGTTTAAACAACTAAAGTAAATACCAAACCATCTCAATTAAAGTTAAAAGATATTGTGTTCATTACAGTTTGACCCCTTGTTTAATTTTTTAGTTTTATTCTAATAGATAGTATAATTATATACTAACTTTGATTTTTTTTTAAAAATATTAGACTTTTATTTTTGATTTTATTTCAATAAATGAAATAATAAAACATGAATTTTAGATGTAAAATTCATGTTCTATTATGAATAACTTAGGCTCTTTATTTAATTTTTTAGTTTTATTTCAATAGATGGTATAATTATATACTAATTACGATTTTTTTTAAAAAAATAAATTTTTAATTTTAATTGTATTTCAATAAAAGATACAATAGAATATGAATTTTCTTTGTAAAATTTAAAATGTTTGATATTCTATATTTGATTAAAGTATTTTTGATCTGAGTATAATATTTTAAACTCAAGAGGTCTAAGTATTATATAATTACAAACTTTAGAGGGATCAAAGTATAATTTATTGAATGATAAATTTATATCAGGGGTCTAAGCATTATGTGCGTACAAACCTCAGGGAGTCTGTGTGTAATATTTCAAATGTTAAGGAGTCTGAGTGATGAAGTGACAAACCTCAAAGGATCTTGGTGTAATTCTCCCTTTTATTTTCCCCATCTTTTCTTTCCCAAATTAGATTGAAAATGATAAATTTGATTAGGGTTTTACAATTTTAAACATAATTTTTAAATTGGATACAAAATTAATGTATATATAAAATAAACGAATGGACTTATTAAACTTAAATAAATTGAATCAAAACAAAATTAGAAACAAATTATGTATGTCTTACTCGACTCAAAAATCATGACACGACTAAATTTTTAGACTATTCAAATTTTAATAGGACTCGAATTTAAGGCTCAAAATTCTGATTAGTTAGATGGTTTTTTTTTTTTGATCAATATTAGTTTAGATGGTTGAATGACATACTATTCCATAAATATGCTATATAATCAAAATTAATGATCGAATTAGATAAATTATTATTAGCAAAAATTACTTAAAAGTAGATCCTTTAAGTCAATTAGATTAAGATAGAATACGAAGACTTAATCCTATGGGGTTTGCTCGAGACTTAATCTTAAGAAGTTGTTCAAGTGGTAATAAAGATGAATTGTAAATTCAAACATCTTAAATTTAATTTTTAATTATTCATTGAAATTAGACAATGAAAAATTTGTTTCTCTTGAATACCTTAGTTACCGCATAAATAATCTATCTTTAATCGAACTGATAATTTAGACACCCTTTACCGTTACGAAAAAAAACAGAGAATACAAAGACATACCACACCATCAACGTGACAAAGTCACGGGAGGAATTCTGCAGTATTTCCCTTGATTTTCGCATTAATACATGTCACTATTGCTGCATGAAAGCCATTTGTCTTGGCACTGAAAGCTCAGTCCCCACTACCCTACACGCTTCTGTGAGTTGTTTGTTGCTTATAAATAGAAACCCATTACAGATAATCTAGATTCCCTCTACCACTCAACACTCTTTCCTTCATCCCACCACCCATCCCATACCTTTTTCATCTATCACACCCCCAAAAAAAAACACAAGCAGAAGCCATCCATACACCACTGCTGCTGCTGCAGTTTTATGGGTGGTAACCACCCCCAACAACAACTGCATTTCTTCTCTCTTACCTCCATTTCCCTGTCTAGCCTACTGCTGCTTCTATTCCCTCCACCAACCCACCCACCCACCGCCACCACCAACACCGCCTCTTCTTTATTGATCAAAGTTGTTCAGAAGGCCAACAATCTTTATGGATCCATTTTCTACCACCATTCTGACCCTTCTCGTGCTCTCCATTAGTAGAGGTAATTAATACTCACGTCTATTTTGAATGCTCCTTAATTATAATTTCTGTCACCAGCACAAACAATGATCGAAATTTTGCCATAAAACAAGAAATTTCTGGGTTCTGTTGCCATTGCAGGTGTTTCAGGAGCTAAATTTACCTTCACAAACAAGTGTGACTACACAGTGTGGCCTGGAATTCTAGGAACCCCAAGCTTAGACAGCACAGGCTTTGAGCTAACCAAGGGTAGTACCCGATCCTTCCAAGCTCCAACCGGATGGTCTGGCCGGTTCTGGGGCCGAACCGGGTGTAACTTCGACGGCTCCGGTCAGGGATCATGCTCCACCGCCGACTGTGGCTCAGGCCAAATCGAGTGCAATGGCGCCGGAGCCACCCCTCCGGCGACCCTGGCAGAGTTCACCCTCGGGTCGGGTTCTCAGGACTTCTACGACGTCAGCCTCGTCGACGGGTACAATTTGCCCATGGTCGTTGAAGTGAGTGGCGGGTCGGGTAAGTGTGCATCCACGGGTTGTATTGAAGACTTGAACCGAAAATGCCCATCGGAGCTGAAGGTTGAGGGTGGCGGGGCTTGTAGAAGCGCGTGCGAAGCTTTTCGGACGCCGGAGTACTGTTGTAAAGGCGACTTCAATTCACCGGCGGCTTGTGCGCCGTCGGTGTACTCGCAAATATTCAAGTCGGCGTGTCCGAAATCGTATAGCTACGCGTACGATGATACCACGAGTACCTTTACGTGTACGAATGCTGATTACACCGTTATATTTTGTCCGTCACCCTCGAGGTATTTGTAGCATCAGAATTACTATTTAAATAAATTACACTCACATCCCCTAATAAATAAAAAAAACCTAAAACGCAACATGAACTTACTTACTAACTTACTAAATACGGCTTATAAATAACTTATAAATATCACACATTGCAAAACACGACATGAACCTAACCCCACACGATTATAACTAATTAATTGAGTATGAGTTAAATGAATTTTAACATAACACGACACGACACGATTTATTGACAAACTCGAAAATAATTATTACCAAGCATCCAAACATGAACACTCCGAAATTTTGGATCACTTTTGAAATGGGAGGAGATGATGATGATATCGTTTTTTAATGCACTATTTTAAGTCTTGGTTTATTTGCACGTTTTAATTTTGGAGAATTAACATGGGGAATGGTTTGCTTTTGCAGTTCAAAAGCTTCATCAAAATCAACGGGTACAGCTGATGGGTCAGGGTCGGTGGAGGAGGCTATTTTGGCTAATGGGTCATGGATGGCAAATTTGGCCACAGGGGACTCAACTAGAAGACATCCTTTGGATGGTGTTCAATTTTTTGCAGCCATTGTTGCTGCTGTATCTCTCACACTATCATTTATGCAATTGTAATCTCCATTGTTTCCCTATCTTCCATTGACAGTGCATGATCCAATATCAGAGAGAGAGATGAGACGTAGAATCAAAGATCTGACAGAACATGAGATACTGGGTGGGCGTCATTCGGGTTAGGGAAGTTGACAAAAACCATACTGTAAGCCACCCACTTGCCAGTTCTCCATATATTGGTGATTAATTACATAATAAATGTGAATATACATAAACGTTTCATATGGTTTAAGCATTAGCTTTAGTGTTTTATTGCTTTTTCATAATAAGACAGCAGTACTACGGGAATCAAAGCAAAAACAATGAAGAAAAAGGACAAGAAAGAACTCTTTTTGTGTAGCAATTTGATTTATTTAAATCACTTTAGTAATTAGTAAAGAGAAAAGTGTAAGCTTTTAAGGTCAATCTTAGTCTCTTACCAAAAGGTCACTATATGTGGGAGTCACAATCTCAGAAGTTTGTCTGCCATGGACGATTGGGTTGGGTTAATCGATTGCCTTTCCCATTGCTTTAAGCTGTGTGTTTGCTGTCAAAAGCAAAATGATGGTACATCAATGGCTCAAGCTTATGAATGAAGCGTCCATGAATTGGAAAATCATTGTGGAAGGAAAATAAAACGCTTTATGTCCATTAAAAAGAAAAAAAAGGCTCAATTAACTTTTTGTAGTTGATAATAGTTTCTTTAATGGAGTAAATACAATGATTAAAATTTTGTTTCAAGATAACCGAAACGTATCCGTTTTCAAAGAGACCAAAACGAATCAATGATGAAATTAAAATTCTAATACTTCAAAGTCTTTTATAATGTTTTAAAACATTTACACAATTGTTTCAAAAGGTTTCAAGATATTTTGATATATTTCTACTAATATTTTTAAAAAATAATTCTTAAATTTTTTATTCGTTTTTATTCTATTTCAAAACAGGTCAAAACATTTTTAAAACAAACTAAAACATTTTTATTTCCTAAGTAACTAAAATGATGTATCAAAACAAAATCCTTGTAAATATGGGCAAAAAGTCTTATAAACTCATGGGTAAAGAGGATACATTTAAGATTTCATCAATTGTTTATCAAAGTGGAGAATAATTAAAGTAGTGACACAATTAGGGAGAACTGTGTAAGATATTTCAAGAGCTTGTGAGATTTTTTGAGAAAGGCAAAAAGTATATAATCTCAAGGTTTCTCAACCCAAACTTTTTGGGTTTTTTTGGATGTGGGTATATTTTTTTTTAAATTTATTTGAAAGGAAGTGTATGGATAAATATTTTACTCTAATAAGTTTAATTTTAATAAAATATCTTATTATTAGGTACAAAAATTAAATGACATTTGAATTTTTTACTTGGTTACCATTTCTTAAATTATGCATAATTTTATTCTTTCCATCTCTCTCCTCTCTCTCTCTCCCCCATTACTCTCCCACTATGTTTTCCCTATTTTCTCTCCATCTCTCTCTCTCTCTCCCCATTACTCTTTCTATCTCTCCCTTATTTTCTCTCTCTATCTTCCATTGATAATTTATTTTCTTTTCAAATTTGTAAAAATTTGATTTGCTCTTTTAGGAACCTCAAATTGGAAGAAAGCTAGCGGAGAGAGTTTGTATGTATTCTTCTCTATTTTTGAGCTTTAGAGTGAGATATATTAGATTCCTTCCTCAAGATAGTTCTCTTGGACTAGAAAGTAGTCTTTTCATGCTCCGCTACACATAGATAATTGTTATACATATTTACACCTATGCACTCACCAAACAGACAGACAGTACATTTACAGTTTTCAGGTTGGTGGTAAAGATATAGGATGTGCCATGTCTTCAAACCATTTTGAATTGAGGGAGTTAGGGCGGAGATGTTTTGTGCCTCTTTAAATTCAAAGGTATTGAGTAAGCCTAAGGGAGACCTATTGGATGTAAGGTTTTACAAAGTCTATTAGAACCAAAAGTATTCTTGCTCAATCTAGGTATAACTAACTGATTAAAAATGGATCAATTACTTGAAAAAGAAATTCAATTTGTTTTGACATTTTGGAGAAGTGAATATTTGGATTAAAAATGAGATATGTTTAAATTCGAAATGTCTCAAGTCTAACAATGGTCACAGTTACTACAGTAAAGATTTTAAGAGTACCATGATGCAAGCTAGATTAAGATACTAAAAATAATTATAAAGGGAACACATCAGAACGGAGTTGCAGAATGCATGAATATAACCATTTTAGAGAGTGCTACAAGAATGAGGATTCATGTAGGGTCACCTAAAAACTATGGATGGATGTCATGAGTACTTCAATATACCTAATTAACAGGGAACTGTAGTTCCATTGGATGGTGGAATATTTATGTGGAATATTTATGGAAGCTTTGATAAAAAGGAGATAAACTTATCTTTTATGTCCACATTAA